AATAACAGAGAGGCATAAACTCGTAATGAGTTTGATTTGATTTGCTGATTGAATAAAATAAAAGAAATAAATAGTCATTTGTTAGGGAATATTAGATTGAATCACTGAAGTGAACTGAAACGAAGTGATAATTTGTTTTCAGTGCGTATGCGTTTATAAAACGCAGACCAGACGCAAGCAATATGCAGTTGACATTCAAACGATTTCGTGAATTCGGCAGGAATTTCTTCACGCCAAACACCGAACTGGAGAATTTATCGTGCTATGCAACATTTGCAGAAAAGGTGTTATTTGATTTCTTTAAATGTTAAATAATACTGGGAATGTTAATTATTGTTATAATATTATAGGATATAATTTATTATAATTATGTTATTGGTAAGTAAGCTGCGAGGAAAAAAGAATATCATGAGAGAAGGAAGATGATATTGGTGGTAAGAGAGAGGTATAAGTCGTTATGAGTTATGAATTGAGTTGATTAAATTTAGCTGAAGTGGATGGCTTTTGTAGACCTATCCAGATGAGTTGTTCAATGGATAATGTTGCATCGATCGTAGTTGTTTTGAATTCTAGAAAAGAGATTAGTTTTTGGAAAAAGTTGAAAGTCTTTCTGTGAAAATTTGAAATGATAAGGAATTTCTGAGAAACAATAGTGATCATTCAGTTGTTTTGTTGTTTTTTTATGAAAATGTTTTGTTGTTTTAGCTTTTGGAAGTGGGTGATAAAAAGAAGGCACAAGCACTGGGCACATTCATTAAAGTGAGCAGTGTGAACATATGGGATAGGAAAGAGGAGAGTGAACGACTGGCAGCCTTGAGACTGGCATTGGTTTATGTGAACGCGTTAGGAGATGATTCGAAGAAGTGTGATGCGATCGCGAGTATTGTATTGAGAGGCACTCTTCCAGATGATGACAAACCAATGGTTAGTTATGTTTTGCATTAGTTATATCTTTGATGAATTATTGTTACAGTTCTCTTAATTGATAATAGAATTTTTGTGGTGGTTCGATTGTGAAATGTGAATCATTTGTGAAGGGTAATGGTATTCACTTACTGCTTCTTCAAGCAGGTTGTTTGTGTCAGTTTTAATCTTAATCTTAGTGACAATTGTAGGTAGGTGCAGCGAAGGAGATTTCATTAGATCAATGCAATTAGTGATGGTATGAGCTGAGACTTTTAGAGTTGATAGATTGTTGATTAGGATCGCAAATTGCAGGTCTATAAGAGTGTGGAAGTTCAGGATCGTTTGAATATTCTGTTGAGTCAAGCGATCAAAAATGGATTTCGCAATTGGGAAGGTGCAGTGTTGGATATTTTAGCGACACTGTCGGTGGCGTTTGTCTATCACAAGGCGTCAACATCGGATCGTTATCGTTTCTTGTGTACAACGTACGAGAGTTTGCAAAAAGTGCTCGATCTCAGTGAAATGCCACGATTTACGGTGAGTTTTGCAGTGTGGTGATTAAGTCTAAATTGGCGATTGTTCGATTTTTGTTAGCAAATATGAAAGTTAGAGTCTGGTAGAATAAGTGGTTTGGAGAGAGCTTTTTTGAGATGGGTTACTTACAACTTATAGGTTGTTATTATTATTACTTTATTATTATTATTATTATTA